AAATAAAATAAAATAAAATAAAATAAAATAAAATAAAATAAAATAAAGCAAAAAATAAACGTCGTGCCTAACGACAATCGAACCCGCACCTTCCGAAAGCTAACAAATGGGCCTTCAAATCTCCAACTTCAATCATATTTCTTTAAATCGGTGTATTTACGATGAAAAAATCAAAAATTAACTTGATTGTAAAAACCATTGTGCTTTTTGCTCAGTGTTTATACGCGTTTAAATTGTATAAAAAATCGCAAATTCGCTGGGGTTTAAAATTTCAAGGCTTTGAATAAAAAAATTCCGGTCGCTAGGAAATAAATTTGTCATAGACGAAGGGTCGGTTATTTTTAATAACTAGGCTAGCATTCTCAATACTGGACACCAAATTCGAAATTTCTGAATTTTGAACAAAAAACGATAAATAAAAAAATGCAAAATAGTGGATAAGTTTAACCCAACGCAAATTTTATTGCTACACTAAAGTCGATGTTTAAAACATTGTTGAAAGTAAGATCGATGTATTGTCAATTAAGAGATGTAAAAACTTTTTTTTTTTTAATTAAGATCGAATCAAGGTCATACCGAGTGGTAGTGCTCCCCTTTATATACTCAGCCAGAGAGGACATCCCATTTAGGTGGAAAAAATCATTAGCTGTTTCGATAGATATCTCTGTCAATAAGGAATGACAGCTAAAGTTAAGAGGTCTACGATTTCAATTCACCTTATTATCCAAACTGCAATGACTTTTTTTAGAAGATTTGATATGCATATTTCTAAAGGATTTGCACACTATATGCATATCGAACGCTGAGTGCAGTCATCTCATAAAATTTTTTAATATCGTCCTAGTTATAAATTTAAATAAAAGACCCTCTCGCAACCGAAAATATGTATATAAATATGTACATATATTGAAAATATGTTGACTGGGGCGTTTTCCAATCGACTGCCGAGATCGGCCGATCTTCCACTCTAAACATCCACACAATTATATTGCAATAAAGTCAACTTTCCACTTTTTTTTGTCATTGCCCATTCACATGTGTTCTATGTTATTTCAAAAAGTAAAGGATTTTCTTCAATTGTATTTTGTACTTACCGTCCGGTTACTTGTACACTGAAGTTGAACGTCATGGCCATCACAGCCACCATTATGTCTGCCATGGCTAAAGATACTACAAAATAATTCGTTATAATTCTGTAAATAGATAAGAAGAAAAGGTATGTCAGTAAATTTTGAGAAAAGCCTAAAAAGAGTAAATAAGTGCATAATTTTTATTGAAAACATATTCATAATTATGCAAGAAAAATCTCGAGTTTCAAATTACACAAAAAGCGCCGAAATAAGTTAACTTAATTTGGAGTTGTGGATTACCAATCTGTACCTATACTGTTTCTCGAGATTAAGACAAGTTTTCGAAATATGCATTTGCAATTTATCGCTATTGAATTAATAAAAAATATTCCACTTAAAAAATCCTCCATAAACATCACTTTTCGATAGGCATAGTAGTTTCTGAGAAATTTATTAATCATTCCAGATTTTGTCTAATGAACAAATTATTAAACTTAACAGAGAAAAAATTAAAATAATAAAAAATTTTTTGTAAATTTTTTCATAAATAAATAAAAAAAAAGGATTGAATGGACAAATGAAAATGCGCAAGGATTTTGGAAAATGGAAAATGGGTAGGAAGGAGTGTACATATTTCATACCAAAAATCACTGCGCATTTTCATTGGACCTTTCGAAACTTTCTCTATTTATTCATCGATTTTCCTTGTTAGTAGCTTCATTTTTTGTAAAAGAACAGGTCTTTTCCACAATAAAAAAAAAAAATTAAAAAAATAAATCTCAGTTGAAGTTAAGTTTTTTTCATTCATCATTTAACTGAACTGGGGCAAAAAAATCTAAGTATTAAAAATATTTTTTTTATCTTTGCGAAAACTACCGTTACATGGTAAGCAGGAGTAGTTTTGCCCCTATCTGAAATAATATAGTTAGACTTAATGTGATAAAGTTGTATAGTTTTTGTATAGTGGGCGGTACCACGCCCATTTCCCAAAATTCCATAACAATGTTACTTCCTTTCAAGGGATTGTGAGTATTAATTTTGAGTAAACTAGCGCAATATAATTTCGACATATCGAAGTTTCAAGTATTTCGGAAATTTACCGTTAAGGGCGTAACTTTGGTCCGTTTTCAAAAATTTTCAAGGTCTTGCTTTTATCTGTCAAGTACAATAATTTTACTAAGTTTGGTACAAATTTAACGACCACATACAAATGTGGTCATAAGTGCCAATTTTCCAAAATATTGTTAGACATTTATTTTATATAAATTTTTCTTAAATAAGCTTTAGTAGTTATTGATTTATTGAAGACTTAGCATTCATCTAAATTACCGTTATATGGGCTGGGGCGTGGTTATTGTCCGATTTAAAAATTTTAAGGCTTTTAGTATGTTTTGCCAAGACCAATAATTGTGCCATGTTTGGGCGGAGTTGTTGGAGCGGTTACCAAGATATATACATGTAATCATAAGTGGGCGTGGCTATGCCAATTTTGCTTAAAATTATACTATTCTTATTTTTCGCCTAAAAAATAATTGTACCAAGTGTGAAATAAGAGTGAATAAGGTTCAGTAGTTACTAAAATATATTAGTTTCAGTGTTTCTGGAAACTACCGTTATATGGGAGGTAGATTGTGGTTATGATCCGATTTTACCCATTTTCAATACCATCTGTCGTACGTTGAAAAAAAGTACACGTACCAAGTTTCGTTAAGATATCTAAATTTTTACTCAAGTTATCGTGTGCATAGACAGACGGACAGAAAGTCAGCAATTTATCGTTTTTCTTTTTCATTCTGAGCATTTATTTATACATTTGTCTATATCTAACTCGTTTCTTTTTGGTTGTAACAAACAAACGTTATGTGAACAAAGTTAAATACCCTTGCGCTCGGGTATAAAAATGACCTGATCTCGTAATCTACGATCTTCTCTAACCGATTTTTGTGCCATTTCCACATGAAATTTGCCTTCAAAAATTTAATGCGCTATAACACTGCATATATTTATCTGAAAACTTTCTAATATATCTGAATAAAATATTTCAAGTTTTAATGAAAATTTTTTTAATTATTATATTTTTTTTTTTTTTTTGCAAAATCTGAAGCGCGCATTTGAATGTAGTTTATTATAGATATGTATAATGAGCTAGACTTTTTAAAACCAAATAACAAACATTATATAAAAAGAAAAGAAATATAGCCAAAACTGGTAAAAATACTAGTAAGTTTCAAGTTAATCTCTTAAAAGGAAACAAGATCGAACATGGGCTTAGAACCACCCACTTATCACTGCATAGGCTTATCTCGGTAACCGCATTATCGATTTCTACAAACCTGGGTTCAATTATTTAATTTCATCTAAAGTTCTGAACACATTGAAAACGACGAGCTACTGGCCACAGCTTCCAATTTGTTATCTTCATTATCTAAACGCTTTGTCGATGACGACATGATTGTTTTGAACGGGGCAGTCACGTCATGACTTTGTATGAGTTTGACATAAAAGAAGAGGAAGAACCTTATCTATCGCTAGAAAAATAGAAATAGATCAAAACTGGCCACAACCACAGTCTCCGCGTAGTCCGGTCGTCGCCAAAATAATTACCTGCATAAGAGTACGTCTAAAAATAATTTGACAGATGTGGTCCGTAGCTCATCGTTTTCATTGTGTTCGGGATATAACTGGGCATATCATAGAAAATATTTTGAATCGGCAAAAAAAAAAACACCCCGGCTTATCATGTCATGTAAGGTAAGAGAGGTAAAAAAATAGATATTTATAACGTGGACCGGGTATATAAAGTTCGGTTTCACTTGAATTTATTTTCTTTACTTGTTATGTATAACATAGCTATAGTCACATATACATACATATATATGTTCGTAAGCAGAAGTAAAGTAAGCAAAGATATGTGCATAGTGAAATGGTAGTGTTGGCCTTTGCAAGTTTAGCATTTAAGACACCCATAACGACATGTCTAAGTTGGCTGTTTAATGTCTTGAAAAATGAAAAATGTGAAACAATGAAAAACTTAAGGACTAAATCGTTGAGAAGAAAGTTGCTTGAAGCTAAAATTCTTCACTCTCGAATGCGTTGTTAATGAGCTCATAAAAGTTAAATCAGTTGATAAGTGTACGTGTTGTAGCCTGTGGTAGGATATGATACGTATAGCGAGCACACTCGTTAAAATAGCACCTACGCAGAGCGCTCGTGCATAACCGTGTGCTCCACGCATCTATAAGTATTCTAAGGAACTGTGTAATATATGTGTATGTAATAATGTTAAGGCGACTGTAATATGCTGCTGTCTTTATGCGTTTTAAATCGGCGCTCTTACTTACTTGGCACTTTTATTGTGCTAAAAAAGTAACAAAAAAAAGGAACAGTCCAGCGCCTTCGTCTTGGTCTGCAGGCTGTATCGGAGATACAGCCGCTATATTTAAACGTAGAATACGTGGTATGGTTATTGATAACAATATCAATAGAAAAATCGATAAAAATATTGGTAACAAAACCAATAAAAATATCGATAAAAATATCGACAACAAAATCGATAAAAATATCGGTAACAAAGTCGATTATAATATCGATAGCAAAAACGATAAAAATATCGATAACAAAACCGATAAAAATATCGATATCAAAATCGATATAAATATGGATAACAAAATCGATAAATAATCTATAATAAAATCGATAACAAAATCGATTAAAGTGTCGATAACAAAATCGATAAAAATATCGATCATTATATCGATAAGAAACGGAAAATATCGATAGAAAAATAAATAACAAAATCGATCATTATATCGATAAGTTCCGAAAGTATCGATAACAAAATCGATAAAAATATCGATAACAAAAACCGATGACAAAATCGATTAAAATGGCGATAACAAAATCGATAAAAATATCGATCATTATATCGATAAGTGAAAATATCGATAGCAAAATAAATAACAAAATCGATCATTATATCGATAAGTTCTGAAAATATCGATAACAAAATCTATAAAAATATCGATAACAAAATCGTTAGCAAAATCGATAACAAAATCGATAAAAATATCGATAACAAAACCAATAAAAATATCGATAACAAAATCGATAGTAAAATCGATAACAAAGTCGATAATAAAGAGATAACAAAATCGATAAAAATATCGATCATTATATCGATAAGTTCCAAAAATATCGATAGCAAAATCAATAACAATATCGATAAAAATTTCGATAACAAAATCGATAAAAAAACCAACAAAATATCGATTATATCGATAAGTCCCGAGAATCCCTAAAATCCCGAAATAGTTCCGAGATTGAGTCTCTGTGCCTTTATCTATATCCTTTTCTCTACAACTACCTTTATTTTAATCTTTCTTCCTCTATCTTCATCTATACTTTTATCGGTATCCTCATCCGCATCTTTTTCTTTATATTTATCTTTGTTTTTATTTTTATGTTTATCATATTCTTCATATACATATTCCCCTTCACCTTTGCACTTATACATATAAGTAAAGTGTTTAAATTTACCTTGGTCTTCATGTTTCCCTTTATCTTTACTCAACTTTGTTTTTGTGTTTATTTTTACCTTGGCCTTTATCCTTTTCTTTATCTATGTACGTCCTCACCTTTACTTTTATTCTTGGATTGGACTTTTTCTAAATGTTGTTTCACTTCGAAAAGTCTTCGCGTATTATGCATACATGTGTACATATATGTATGTACATATATAATATGTATGTACATATGTATGTATAGACATACATAGATTACTAAAAATAGAAACAGATCCACATTAACTGCAATCAACATATGTACGTATGTATGTATTTACATATGTACACACGCTGCGATTAGGTTATAAATAGCGCGCCTCTGTTTATCAAAAGCCGCATTACATACGCATACATACTTTTTGTCTCCTTCCCACACTTCCAACATATGCACGTGTTTGCAAAATGATGACGAGGTGATTTTGTATGGAAAATCATTTATGCCCATATATTTGAATAAAATAAACATATATAGAAGATATCAACCAATACTTTCCATATACCAAACGAAAGGAAAACTCTTGAATTTTTGATTAAAGAAAACAAAAACAAAATCATTCGAGC